AGGTTGAAAGCACTCTCTGTGCACGCTATATACCTACATCCGCGTATCACAGTAAAAAGAGAGAGCAAGCAGCCCGGTGATGCACCCTATTTCCTGAAAATCAGATTAACTCTGAGAGGCTGAGTACTTCTGGTTTGCCTCGTCCGGCTGCTTTATTTTTCCTACGGGGTATAATAAAGCACAGGGAGCGGTAGTGGACGGCAGACACCCTAATCTGATATTTCGGCGCAAGGGAGAGAATATTAATGTAGGTTTGCTGCGGGCAAAGGCGGATGCCGCGGCGTGTACGCTTTTATCCGACCACCAGCCGAGACGTACGTAATCCACCGACACCCCATAAAGCTAATGAGTCACACAGAGGCCGTCGTGGACACCATCGTGGACAGGTATAGCGTTTTAAGACGGTCTAACAACTTTCGCGAAAGTCACACTGCTATTATATCCCGATTGTTTCTCCTTCGAATCGATGGCCGAATTTGAAATGAAAGGCGAATATTAAGCGGACGGAAGTCGTTCGACCAGTGAAATGTGTGTTTTTTCATTTTTTTTGGAACAGGAATATCGTTGAATTAAGAATTCTCCGGCTTGTATCAGGCGATTTAAGTTTTTTTATCGAACCACTCGAGTGTATTAAACACGTGATAGGTCGGTCGATGATCGATCTCTGCTGAGATAGCCGAATTCGAATGTTGGTCACGGGTTCGAACGTGGTGCACGAGCGGAATTGAAGGTTGGATGGAAAGATACAGAAGATGAGAGTATAGTCGATGGAAAAAAATATAACGAGATTGTATATTGAAGTATATAGGTCTTCTGATGGCTGGTTAGGTTAACACTTGAGTGCATCGTTCTGTTATTTGCAACATTTTGAAGAATAAGAGTTATTGTATGATGTATTCGAATGACTTAGCGTAATCGGTGGAAGAAATGTAGCGAGGTCGTAAATCGAGGCATTAAGTAATCATAAAGTTTGATGCAGTGATTCTCAGGGTTGCATATCACATTTTATGTTTTTCTATTGGGACTGAATCAAAGCTAACACTTCATGCGAAAATGATCGAGATTTGGAGTCATTATCTTCTCAAATTTCTGTCGATATGTTCAAACGTGCAAATTTTAAATTCTAAGCGAATTTATGCCTCGGCTAGAAATGTCTGGTGATTGAATAAGTATAAGTGTTTTGCATAAGCTTTGAAATTTTCAGGAAACAAATTCTTCCACGATTAATATTTAAATTCCTATAATAAATTATTTGCAATATTTGCATAAAAGTTAAAGTCTAAAAAATCTGTATATTAAAAATTAAATGACAATTTTTGCATGTCCTACACAAAAATTGATATTTGGACGAATAATAGAGAACGCGATACTGTTTGAGTCGAAGTGACTACAGATCTGACCACTGCAAGAGGTCTTAGCTTTTGTTATGCAAAAAGGGATTTGCAAGGGGTATCAGCTTGGTGTTTTAAATCTTCATACAAATGCGAATGGAAACGTTGAAAACTAATAATGAAAGCTGATTGTGTATCGAATAGAATTTTGACGTGGTGCACGCAACGTGGCAGAATTTATTGAGAGATTAACACCCACCATGTGTAATATCAAAGTATTACGATCCTTATCTGTAGACTGTCTAGACGTTTCTGTGACTCATAGAGACCCGATAGAATATTGAGCATGGTCATTTGAAGAGACACGTGAGAATAGCGAAATATCGTATTTCAAACAATTACCTCGCGGTCTGTATCCAAAAAAAAATATCATTCAAATCACATTTCATCGCGTCTTACTAATAGCTGCGAAAACAAAAAATCAATAGCCACAGCTCATTAGAATTTCAAATATCGAGGCGAAATCGATTAGCAGATATTACAAAAAAGATATATAATTCTATTTCAAACGTCGACAAAAAAAAAGGAAGAATTAATTTGAATAAAATTACTCGATCTGCAATTTCATCGGCTCTGCAAAGATCGAGCGCGCCAGAGATTCAGAGAAAAAACCTTCTGCGATCACCGACAGATGGAAGCACACTATCGGTGCATCTTCTCTTCTGACTCACCCTCTCTACCTGTTCTCTGCAGCATCCAACATCCTACTCTACTGTTCTCATTTTCTAAATAACAAATATATCAAGAGGAAGCCAGTTTTGTTATAAACCACAAGTAATTGAATAAACAAATTCATGTAAAAGGTCAGAATAGTCACATGTTTCATTTAAAAAATACATATATTCGTTTTGCATAGAATTACGTTCTGCCGTCAGTAATTACACATCCTAAGTAGCACAAGTCGTCATAGATCAGACACAAACGTGTTTACGACTTCTATTAAACCTATCTCATAAATACCAGGATTGTCATCGTCGAATCTACTCTATCTATCGTCGAGAACGTACATAATTCCCTCGATGTACCCAAAACTACCACGAAACATCCCCTCGTGGATGTGATCAACGTGTGAAGACATTCGAAGGTGCTCCATTTTCGCGAACCATCGAACGCCCTCGAAATGCATTCCACGGAGTGGCTGGCACACTCGAGGCATGACTCAATTCCCTCGACCTGTCTAGTGCACTCCAATTACATCCTCGATGCACATACGAGGCGTTCGCCGCGGTGGTCGTGCCCAGCATGTGTGCCCTCGATTCGCCAACGGGCGACGCGGACACCCAATTTTCCGCGAGCCTGATGCACTCGAGGATGCATCGCGGCGGAGGCCACAGGTATGCGCGCCGCCCTCCCTCCGTCTCGGCTGCGCACACTTTTTCTCCCCCACGCATTCCACGGGCTCGAGTGGCCCCGGAGGGCCACGACCCACGCGCCGCGACGCCGCCGCGCCGCTCGGGCGCTCAAAGTCGAATGACGATCGCGCCCCCACCACCCACGCAACCGACGCGCGCGGCACGCTCGTCCTCGGGCCAGTCGCGTGGTGGGGGCCGGCTGGTAGCCAATGAGCGCGCGTTCGTCGTACGCCGCGTCGAATCTCGGTCACGTGATTGGCGGCCGCCGATTCTTCGTCTCGCTCTCGGCTGTAGTCGGGCGTTGTCGTTCCTGCAGGTATCATCGGCTTCTCTCTTCACGTTGCCGTCTTTTCTTTATCTCTCTTTCGCATGGATGTATACCTTCGTCCTTTACCAACCTTTTTCACCCCTTCCCCCATCCATTACCTTTTTCTTTCTCTCTCTCTGTCTCTTCGACACGAAGAGACACGAGCAACGATCCTCCGGGCGATCCTCGTCGCACCTACCGCGCTTCTACGAACTCCTGGGCTTGCTTCCCCCACCAATCCGCCCTTTGCACGCTCGCTCGTTTCCTACCCTTTGTAGGGCGGCAGTACAGAGCGGCTCGAATACTTGGCTAGCTTCGCTCGGCGCCGGAACCATCCGCGCGCCGGGCTCCGCTGATTATCTTCCCGCCGTGCCTTTGACACGTCTGTGCTCTCAGCTAGAGATACTCCGTAGATAGGACAGGGGGGGAATCGGTGTACCGGTTCGTTTGGCTGACGCTACACTGGGTGGGTGATTCGTTATCGGGGAAATGCTTTTTGTCGCGTTACGACGGAGTCGCGGGCAGGAAATGAAAGGTGCTTCCTATGTACATGGACAGGATGAACGTGCTATTAATGTCAATTTTTTTAAATACTTTATACATCTACCATTTTGAAATGAAAAATTTTATTACTCCGAAAAAAAGTCAGTTTAATGAAAGAACGTTTTCGAAAGGACATTTACGACGAGAAAGGAGGAACTCTCCCCGAAAATAAACCGCGATGAATGGCACCGAGGGGCGAAACGTGCAACCGCAACTCGATTTGCTCGAAATCGAGCGGGAGGGCAACGATAAGCGTCTGTTCGACTGGATCGGGTATCAATTACCGGAGCGGTTGCGTGGTATCCGAGAACTACGTATCCGCGCTGTTTCGTGCCGGGCATACGTGCACGTATGCGCGAGATAAATGCCGCGGCGCGCGTTTAATCGGTCGCACAAGTAGAAAGAGTAATTTCGAAAGACTCGGGGAGGGAGTAGGAGGCACGTGCCAGTGGTGCGCGCGTGCGTCAGTCCGCACTCGACGCACGGTGGCACTCGGCTATTTTCGAAGAACGTGATATAAGCCCCGATGACGTTCGTGGCTCTCCGTGTGTGTACGTGCGTCCCCGTCTAGAAATTACCATTACCACTTCTCGATCGCGACGCCGCGCCGCGCCGCGTCGGACCGACCAGCCGGTTCTAATGACCTTTCGACGCGCGATACGCGTCACGAGACTAATCGCCTCTCCCGGAGAAAACACTGTACAGCATTGTTCGTTATCGGACGTGCACGATTTCCAACCCCACCACGAACTATTAGCCCCAAACTCTTTCGACTCTAGCGATCGTTCTTGAAATTTCATTTTTTCCAAACAAATTTCGAAGAAATTAAATTTTATTAACTAGAGAAGCAATCACTTATGCAATTTGCGTATGTAACGCCGAAAAAGAGAAGAATCGCAAATTTTCTTTTTTTTTTCTATAGAATTGCAAATTGCGCCGCTTCCTTTCGAGAAACCCCCGGAAATTTCTATAGAAACGTTCGAGATCCACCTAGACAGTGGGTCGACGAGTGGCAAAACGGATTTTTCCAAAAAATAAACGAAAAGGAGGTATACAGAAAAGGGGGGGGAAAAAAAGGCAGCTCGATGACAGTGCAGAAAAATCCGATCGATCCGAGTCCGGGAGTCGTCTGGTGGGGATTCGCGCGAGGCAACCCGCCGCCACGGTCGTCGGTTCAGGGGTAAAGTAGAGGGGAGTAGGTCTGCTAGGTGGGGGTTCTTAAAGGCAACCGGGTGCTGTCCGACCGTCGGAATTCGGTGGGGGAGGGAAGTCCAGGTTAAACCGTCACGCGCTATCCCCACCCTAGGCGGCTGGTCGCCGTTTTCCCCCACTCTTAAGGTGGCAGCGCCTCCACCGGGCATTCCATCGGGTGGCACGCTTCGACGAGACGACAGAAGACGTTCGTCGTTCGTTCAGTCAGTCGTGCTCTGACGCCCGTTCCGAGTGGTCGGAGTTCAGTGAGAGAGAGAAGTTCAGCGAGCAAGGAACGTGTAGTACGTTCACTTAAACTACGTTCTCTCGTTCGAACATAAACGCTATAGATATATCTATATCTACACATATATATATATAAATATATAAGAGACACTTTAAATTATTCCTCGTCCGGCCAGTCGCTTGGATTACGCCTGGCCAGACACCAAATCACAGTGAAATCACACACACACGTTTCGAAATATTCGACACTACTACCCCCTTGGATTAACAGTGCAGTGTAGCAAAATTGTGCATTGCGATTTTTGCCGACTATCTATTCTCTATTTCATCACGTTCTCTGTGATACACGAACTGTATATACACGATGGTGACCGGGGTGGGTGCCACGATGCCGACAGGCGGTGTCACCGTCGGTGCTACGCCGCCGGCGCAACACGTGCCCCAGGAGGCTGGACAGCCCCCTGCACAAACCACCACCACGACAACCACCACCAGAAGATCAGGAGAGAATCGACGGGTTAGTGTCCTCTCGTCACGAGTTCGTTTTCTTCCGGGGATCGTTCGATTTTTCTTTTCTTTTTCGTTTGAACATTGGGGGTTGAAATTTTTCCTCGGGGTGAATCGAGACTCTTGGAGAAAATTTTTGAAGTAGAGTGGAAGTTCGTAGTCGGGGGATGATTGAACGACGGTGGAAAATTGGGGATTGTCTTTTGGAGTGTTTGTCGGCGAGTATAGAATTGAATTGGCCACGACGATGTTTAATAGAGCTTATGTTTCGCATTGAAATAACGGCAACCGAGTACTCGTGTCGATATTGCACCGTTGCCCCGTAAAGATCCTTTTGAAACGACGAGCAAGCTAATTGGAGTAGTCCGACAGCGTGCCTGACCTGGCAATTCCTTTTCTGTTACAGAGCAATAAACCGATTATGGAAAAACGGCGGCGAGCCCGCATTAACAATTGCCTAAACGACCTGAAGACCCTCATACTCGATGCCATGAAAAAAGACGTAAGTATCTGAACATCGTGTACTTCGTACTCTCCCTTGCGCATTTCAATTTTCTGTCGGGATAATTTTCTGCTCCTCGGAGATTTCTATTTTCTGTCTCGACTCTTCTGTTTTTCGAGAATTTCAATTTTCTATCTTGACTCTTCTATTTTTCGAAAATTTCTATTTTCGATCCTGACTCTTCTTACTCTTCAAGGATTTCAATTTTCAATCTTGATTTTTCTGTTCCTCACAAATTTCAATTTTGAATCTTCTGTTTTTCAAAAATTTCAATTTTCAATCTCGACTCTTCTTACTCTTCAAGGATTTTAATTTTCAACTTCGAACCTTCCGTTCTTCAAAAATTCCAATTTTCAATCTTGACACTCACTCGTCAAGTTCCCATCGCCCTTCGATGAACAATCCGCACATAGCTTCTCACAGCTCGCCTCCTTTTCCGCGACTTTCCCCCGAAATCCTATCCGACATGCCCACTTACGTAATCGTCCGATCCTCTTTCTGATTACAGCCAGCGCGACACTCGAAGCTGGAGAAGGCGGACATCCTGGAGATGACGGTGAAACACCTGGAAACGCTCCAGCGGCAACAGGTTGCCCTGGCTGCCGCGACCGATCCTAACGTGTTGAACAAATTCCGCGCTGGTTTCACGGAATGCGCCGGTGAGGTTGGCAGGTTTCCCGGGCTGGACGCCTCGGTGAAAAGACGTTTGATGGCCCACTTGGCCTCCTGCCTTGGACCGGTCGAGGCGAGCAACAACAACGTTCAAACAGCGACACAGCAGCCTGTTCAACCGGCGCCGCCGACCACGCAACTCCAAGTGCACATTCTGCCTCAAGTGGACGCGACACCGAGGATCCAGGTTCAACAATCCAACGGAATCTTCTTCACGAACGCGAACGGCACCGGTCTCCAATTGGTCCCGACCAGACTACCCAACGGAGACATCGCTCTGGTCCTGCCAGCCGGTGCGAAAGCAACTCCAGTCACATCGCCAGCAACGTCCCCGGCGCCAACCTCGCCTCTGCCAACTCTGATCCCGATTCCTCAGAGAACGGCCAGCACGGCATCGGCGTCATCCTCTTCCTCGTCGGTAAGCTCGACGTCCACGTCGGCGGCGAGTCCTGTGGCGTTCGAAGCACCACCGGCGACCTTCCGCGAACAACCCGCCGCTTACACCAACGGAAACAGTCACAGGGACGTCGCGACGTCACCTGCCAACGGTTACACCAGCGATCCGGAGTTCGACCCACGTGTGTACAGTCCACCACTCCAAAAACCCCTCGCTCT